AGGGACATGGTTTAGTGGGCATGGTGGTGTTGGGTTGACGGTTGGACTCGATGATCTTAGAGGTCTTTTCCAACCTCAATGATTCTATGATTCTATGATTCTATGATTTCCAGAGTGTGATGAATGCCTTGGGCATTTGGGGCCAGCCTGAGGAGCTCGCAAGTGGCTTGGCAGTCCACTGGCTGCCCCAACCCATCCCATTCAAGGCTGCTTTTGTGCGTGGTGCTGTGCTAGTGGGGTGGGCTGGATGCTGTTGCAAGAGGATGTTCACAGTCTTCTCACCCCCCCTCTTCTTTCTCCTTATGAGATGTTTGCAAACACTTCCCGTTTGCAACATGATTTTGTGGCAGAGCATCAGCTTTTCATTTGATGGCAGGGTTCTGCACTCGAGTGATTTTGCATGTTACTCCTACAGAGAAGCCCTCTCTTTGCCACTTTCCCCCAACGGATTTTAAAAACAAAGCGCTCAGCACTGAAGAGCTGAGATTGCAGCTTCTGTCTCCCTTGGTTATATCATTAAATGGCCTTTTATAGGGTTACTCAAGGGTCATCCTACTTTCCTAGTTCTCCTTTTTTCAGAGTTGCATCCTTCCTTCTCCGCAGACCAGTCCTACTTCAGATCTATTTTGGGAGTACATTTTAATGTGCAAACCTTTCTCTGGGGTGTGTGATGGGGGTCGGCATGCACATACAGATTCACAAGCCATGAACCTGATGTGCCAGAGAGAGTCACAGACTTTCCTCGCTGCAGCAATGTACATGATTTGCAAGCTATTAGTTGAGCTCCTTAAGGCAAGGACAAATACCATCTTTCACCAGCTGAAAGTTGGGCACCTTCCTAATGCAGCTGGCATGATGCCATCCTGGCTAAAGAAAACAGTCTGTTAGCCTAAACAGAGCTCGCTCTCGCAGGAGGTTTCCTGTGGCCCTCTGTTATTAGCACTCATTTGCATTGCAGTGTGACCGTGGGATCCCTTGCCAAAACCACAGGTCCTTTGGGTGAGCTGTTGTCACCTCCCAGAGCAAGAGCCAGCGGCTCCCAGGAGCAGCTCCATGTCCCGTCTCCCTAGGCAGCTGCAAACGGAGGCTTTGAGAGTGGCACCGCCTTCTCTGGCTGCTTCGTGGCTGAGTCAGGAGCAGGACCTGCATCTTTCAACATCTCAGCCAATGCTCTTTCCTTAAACTGCTCACAAAGCTAGGGCATGGCCAAAATAACCGTGTGCCACAGAGACTGAGGAGGATGCCAGGAAGGAGCTGCTGAGGCAGAGCAGTTCCCAGGAGGGCTGGCATGGGAAATAGAGAAACGCTCCCCGAGACTCCCACGGTCACTTCCTTGGGTTGTTTTTGAACACCTACCAAACTGCCTGACATGTCACTCTACTAAAACCTGTCTTTTGCACTTACTGTTTCTTTTTTTTCTCTCCCCCTTCAATGCAGAAAGAAATGACAGAACGAATTTGCCACTGAAGCATTTTAGCAGGCGAACTGGGATGGCTCATTCGGAGTCTGATGGGACGAGACACCCTGTGGTGGGAGACCTCTTCCCAAGGACTCGCTCTGGGCATTTCAACTCAATGAATTATGAACACTGCAGAAGAGCCTCTTCAGGCCAAGGCCAAATCCTAAGCTTGCCAAGCATCTCTGGACAGATTTTTTTTTTTAATAGATGCCAGTCTCTGTTGTATGGCTTCTGTCTTAGAAAGCCACTGACTTTCTGGAGAACGAGGCAAGTTTGGTTGACTTTTGCACACTCTGGTTTCTAAGACTCAATCCCATGTCTGATAACACCCCTTCAGCTACCTTTCCTCTTGTTTTGTCCTCAGCTACACTGATCTCCAAATGTTTTATTAGTGATTCCTGCCCTGTGAGCAGGTGTGACCTTGGCTACCGAGTAATGCCCGTTACCTTTCCCACATGCAGTGTGTTTGTGATAACATCTGAGATCAGCTCTGCAAAGTTGGTGACATTTGATCCCAACTGCCTTCATGTGGTTAGTTGCTGATGTACCGTTTTTAACCATGAGCTATGAATGTCTCTCCTTCTGCCCTAATTCATGCTTTACCAACAGGACCCTTTTTCCCCCCAGGGGATTTTTCACACTTGGCAGAGGGGACTTCATGATGTTCTAAGATGCATCCAACACTGCTTGGACTAATGGCAAGATGGCCCCATGACAGAGGAGGTGAACTTGGACACTTTTCAGTGTGATCAGCACAGTCTAGCTGAGAAAGACTCAGAAAGTGGTGGAAAGGAACCGTTGCCAGAAAGCAACATTTTCAACATGTCAGCATTTCCTGACATGTTGTCTTGGCTCAAGATCAGCAGATGCTGGCTGTGGAAATTGTTGTTTTTTCATTATCCAACCCTACAGCATAGTAAATCAGGTGGAGAAGGACTTTAAGAGACATCTAATCTACCCTGTTCTTCCAAAAACGCAAGATCAGTCCTTCTTAAACTTTTTTGACCTTTTGAAAGCATACTATTGCTACCTGGTCTGTGCCATTATTCCCCTGAAAGGTATCACATCTCAAAACTTCTTTCCCTTCTGCTTGCAATGCCTGATAACTAGTGTTGTGTTCCCTGTGCCATTTTACTTTTGACAAGAGTTGAAGTCTTTTTTTTTTACTGTTTTGGGGGAGTTAAAATCAGATTGTCTGAGCCACAGCATTGTTTGTGTTTCCTGCCCTTTTTCTGGGAAGGTTTTGTATACCAGACACAGCTGATATTTATAATCTGAGGTTTGCCCATTTTTGGGGTGGGAGGGGATGTGGCTAGAAAATGTAAATATTTAGGCCAACATTAAAGTGCACAAATGAATTTTTAGTGCTCAAAGCACTTATTTTGTTGCGAAAATCTATTTTTTTTAATCTTGTGTACCAGATATATATTTTTACATGGAAATAAAACAGAGCAAAATGGACACAAAACCACCCGATACATCATTCCAGTATTTTCTGTGTAAAATAATCAGTAAAAGTCCAAGCATTTTTGTTCTGTTACTAATTAAAGAAACGTTAATAAGCCTGGTGTACTTCATTCTTCCCTGATTCACCTGTACTAAGACAGGCATCATGAAAAAGCACCCAGGATAACATAAAGAGTGGATTTCCCCTGTGAGTTGCAGCACTGATGGATCTCAATGCCATGTTGAGACCTCAGCTTGCGTCTCAGAAAGCGGCTTGACATAGGCTAATGTTGCTGGTCTGCATCCTCCCCTTGCAGACCTTTCACCAGCATCGCACCTGAAGGCATTTTTCCAGCGGTGGTGAGTTTTGCTCACTACTTTTTCCAAAGGTGTGTGGTTCCTGACTCCTGGGATCAATCTTGCAGGCTCTTCTTGCAGTTAGGAACCGCAGGCACAAATCACTGTATGGTGCAGAGGCAGGAGATGACAACAGCTCTACCAGGAACCTTCTGCCTCCTTGAGGAGTGAGGCCTGGTTGGACTCAATGCACAGGACACTCTGGAAGCTGGTAAGGTTGGGACTTACGGAGAAGCTGTCTCAACAGTGGGGTCTAAGGGATGAACTGATAGTAGTCTACAGCTACTTCAAGGTGAGGTACAAAGATGACAGAGTCAACCTCTTCTCAACAGTGGAAGACAGTGAGACAGTGACAAACAACCACAATTTGTGGCTTGGGACATTCAAATTAGACAACAGAAAAAAAAGTCCAAGAGGGTGGCGCAGCCAGTGGACAGATACCCAGAGAGGAAGCGTTAACCATCTTTAGTTTAACAAGACTTGGTGTAAATAATGCCCCTGCACAGAAGCCTGCTTATATTTTTGTCCTTCACATTGTCCTGCAGCAATGAGTTCCACCAGGTAATTATGCACTATGCATTACAAAAGGGGAGTGTACTTTGTTTATTTTTAAACACATGCCTGAGGATTTCAGCCCTCCTGCTTTGGGAGTGTTTCACGTTTACCTCCTCTGTACCACAGAGCTCCCACAGATTCCTGCAGAACAGAAAGCGTTGATTATTTCTGAAAGACCAACCCACAGGCTCATCTCAAGCAGCAATTTAAAAAACACTTTAGAAGGTCTTCTTGTTTTGTTTTGGTGGGTTTTTTTCTTTTCTTTTTAACCTAGTTTGCCCAAGGAAACACAGCTCATGATTGTGCTGTGACAACTGCATCTTCAGTAACTCTGGAAGCAGTATAGGAAGGAGAGAGAGGGAGACCTGAGTGAAGGTCTGCACTGTGTTCTGCTGGATGAGCTCAGCCAGCTTATTACACACCAGAGAATCCACATGGGAGACTTTCACAGCCAAGCAGGATCACAAGCTCCTTGCTGGCTGGATTCCTTGTTAGCCGTTAAATGCTGGGTGTCAAATTCTTCCGGTTAAATTAGTGCATGCCTTATCTCGTAGCATGGAAGTCACCCATGTTGCTCGGGGTTTGAGCCCACGTAAAAGAAAAATCATGTCTGCAAGCACCCTCCATCCCAGCAGGCAGCAGCATGTATGAGCTGAGCATCTTGCCCCCTTCAGCTTCAAATTCTGCCACTGCAATGCTTGTGCAATGGAGAAGACAAATCTCAGACTACCGCCATGTCCACGTTCCCCCTTTGCCCCGGCATCAGCTGCTCTGTCCATGGAGTTGCCTCCCTCAAGGGTATTCCCCACATTAAACCACTTGCTCCAGGGCTTTCATCCCCATTGAGGGTCCCAGCCTCGCGGGTGGGGGGCAGAGGGAGCTGTTGTCCCTTGCCAGGGTATCTGAAGCCTCTTGGCTGAATTGCTACCACATTTATAGGGCTAGTAATATAGCAGCAGTGGACCTCTGTAGGACCATCCACTGCCAGAAAGATCTTTGTCTCTCTTCAAGACACTGAGCCTGAGTGCCTCCCAGCCTGGAGTTTTTAATGCCTGAGCATAGCAGAGATGTTTATGAAGCAGAAGCACTGAGAAAAGTATCTAAGTCAAACCTCTCCTCCTTTCAGGAGGCTGAAATGTGCCTATGAGGCTCCAACATCCCCAGAGCTTCAACAAACATCCCTGCACAATTTGAAAGCAGGCAGGAACCCTGGGATGCATTAAATATGCCCGTAGCTCTTGTCAGCCCCAGCTCCCCAAATGACTCATCTGCTCAGCTGGCTGCCAGGTACCTGGGACTCATTTATCTCTGCAAAATCCCTGGGTTCTCCTGATGAAGGGGAGATGTGCTACTGCCAGGATTTTATGTTCCTTCTCTGCAGCCACCATGTCCTTCAGGACCAAACAAAAGGCTGTGGTGGCGGTCATCACATCAGACAGAGGCTGGCACAGGAGAAACGCTGTGCTATGCAATGTCTGCAGACATTGGAGAATTTAGGAATAGCCTTGCACGGTGGAAAAAAGGGCTTTGTGGAGCATAATGGCTCCTGTCCCAGTGCCACAGGGATGGGACATGGAGAGGGCTTGGGCTTGGCCAGTGAAGCATTCTGCCTTCGGCTGGGCATAGGCAGGGGTCAAGGCTGACCTACCCTGGCAGCAGGCCCACTGGCAGCCCAGTGGGGTTGGGCCATGGGGTGGTGGTTTGCTGGTCTGAGTGGCGGCTCCTGGGTTTAAGCCTGCCCATGCTAAGGCTGAACAGTCCTGGGTGAATGGTCACAATTACCATGACATGATCTAGTCTGAGATATTCCTCCTCTCTTGATGAAAGCTTGTAAAATGTCAGAGAAGACTTGGGAAGAGAGAAAAGGGAGCCAAGGAGAAGCTGTTGTTTCCAAGGGTTAAAAATCTGTCCATGCTGAGAAATGACCATGAATCCACTCGGGATCAGAAAGGGAGGAGATGGGTTAATAACACTAGATCTATTCCTTGATCGCTTTCTTGAAGGTGGGGGAAGATGCTGATTCTAGCAGAGAATTTCACAACTAGAGGCAATAGTGTTTCTCTTGAGTGTGTGCAGCTTTTACTTTCTGCAGGCTGATGGCTTTGCTAGCGCAGCCCAGTCAGCCAGATTCCCTCATGCAGGTCAGGGAAGGACAAATGACTCATAAGTGTCAAGAGGACCTTGAAGCAAGAGTGTGGCATTCATCTCCCTGCTGAAGAGAGACCCTGAGTCAGAGCTGAAATGCCAGCGGTGCGTGGGGGACTACCGCATGTCTGCACGGATGCAGAACGTAGCAACAGCAAGTGAGGTCTCTTACATGAGAGAGTCTCTTTCTGCAAAGGTGGCTGTGGGGGGGGGGAAAAAGCATGGTCTGCCTGCAAATTTCTTGAAGTTTAAGGTCTCAGTGGAACACAATCCATTCAGCTCCAACGAGGCACCTTACTTTGACGCTTTGAGATACCAGGTGATGGTATCTGCTGCTGACATCCATAGGGCAGGACTCAGTACCTGTGTAGTCACTCAGTGCTGGCCATATTTTGACTGCCCCAGGGTCTCTGGTCTCTTCCAGTGTCTGAGCTCACCCAACCCTTCCCCCATCCAAGCTGGCTCACCGCTGGGGTCAGCCACAGGTTCCTTGGCAGCAACAAGGATAACTGG